TGCGCATCCGTGAAGGTGGGCCTGCCGCTGGTCTTCGCCTCCTCAGGGTAGTCGCCGTTAATCAGAGGCTCGATGGAGAGACCGATGCCTTGTACCATGTTGGCCTTCTCGGCCGCGGCCACGTCCTCATCGGCCGTAGAGTTCGGTCGGGAGAAGTTGGGTCCGACACCAAAGCCGACCTTGCCCTGCTGCTTCTTGAGGTACTTCTCTTTGTATATCTTGTGGGCCTTGGCGTGAGCAATAATGAGGTTGTGCAGGCACAACATCCTCTTGTTGTTGTCGGTTATGGTGCCGGGAGGTACCATGCCCATAGCACCATTCAAGTTGCAGTACATGGAGGCCTCGTTGATGGTGAGCCACAGCTTCACTTTGTCACCGTACTGTTCGAAGAGATAGTCGGCGTAGTCTTCGAAGGCGTCAGTCATGTTTTCGCTCAACCAGCCGCCGAACTTGTCCTCCAGAGCCTGTGGGTAGTCGAAGTGGAAGATGGTGACGAACGGCACGATGTTGTTCTTGAGGAGCTCATCGATGACGTCGTGGTAGTGGTCGACGCCCTTCTTGTTGATGCCTAGGTCCCTGGTGCCGTTAGGGAAGATCCTAGCCCAGGAGATGGACAAGCGGAAGATCTGGAGCTGCGTTCAAAGGTAACAAATTAGCTCCCTTCGGCCCGATGCGCGATAGACGCGTTAGATGATAGGCTACCAACCCCGATCTTCTTGGCAAGGGCGATGTCCTCCTTGTAACGATGGTAGTGGTCGGCCGCCACATCGCCAGTCCTGCTCACTGAGTAGTTCTTGCTGTGGTAGTAGTAGTCGAACACGTTCACTCCCTTGCCTGCGGGAGAACAGAGGGACGCGTTGGCTCCGGGAGTCTTGGGGACGAAGTGGTCGAGCTGGGGAAGACCAGTCCAGCCCCGCGCCCGCTACTCACCGTCAGCGTCCCAGGCGCCCTCCACCTGGTAGGCGCTGGTGCCGGCGCCCAGGAGGAAGTCCTTGGGCAGCGTGTACTTGGCATCGTCGTCGTCCGTGCCGTTGCCGCGGACCTCGTCCGCAGCCCGCAGGATCCCGAAGATCTGCGGCGACCCGACCGCCGCGGAGGCGGCCAGCGCCAGGCAGGCCACTTGCAGGATCCACATGGCCGGCGCTGATCTGGGCCGGCCAGCGCCGCCCTTAAATATGGTTCGGAAGACAGATAGTGACCGACCCGCGTCACCGTGCATGAGGGCCCTCAGGACGAGTGGCCGAGTGGCGCGATCCTACGATAACAGTATAAAAAATTGTGTGAAAGCGGTTGGGCCAAACCGTTTACGGGTGTTGTATTGGCCACAAGCTCGGTTTGGAGGTCATGTGATCCCGCCCGCTCTTTCTGGAGAGACACCCTGAACGGAGGGGGGGGGGGGGCACTTTAACTCACATCAGAGGTACAGTAAAGGGTGGAGGGCTGAAGTAACGAACGGCCCCGTCTAGCCACTCTAATCAGTATGGCTCGCGGAGATAGGGAAGGTGTGATCGGGTGTGATAGTACTCATGAACTCAAGACTGTCTTTCTCTACTACGCAATTCTGAGAACACGGGAACGTTTTCCTGTGATAGAGCCAGAGTTCATTGGCGCTTTTAAATGTAGCTGTTGTTGACAAACCTAGAGATGGCTTGACCCCGGGTTTACCGGTCAGGAATTTTTGAAGATCGTTTACACGGATAATCTTGTATACTAACTTGCCTAAATCCTCCGAATTCGTTATTTGACTATCAACTTTCTACGCGCATATCACTCCAGAACCGTTTCAGCTACAGCACCCGGATTTCGCAAAAAGTTATCCCTCAGTAGGGTCTTTCCTTCATGAAAAAATTGAATGACATCAATCAGCGGAAAGGGTCTCCTCTACCACTTAGGCCCTTTTTACTGACCCTTTTTTAAACCCCTTGTTTGTATCAACGCAGTAGTAAAATTGTAAATTTACAAGCATTCCGATCGAATCGAATGACGAGCAAATTACAAAATATGCTGTACTTGTACGAACATATTTTCCACAGTGATGTTTTTCGACAGTCGGATGACCACTCTTTGCTAGGGAGGGAGAAGAGAGGCATTTAGTCACTTCAAATGAAGTACACGTGCTGATTCGCTGCAACCACCCACAATCTGCGTGCTTGTGATTGCGATCAGACCCTCGCATGGGTCCCAACGTCATCGCCTGA